CTTTCCCTGGTGGCTGGACCCTGTCTCCATAGCAACGCTTCACACTGGAGCTGGGGTCTGCCTGGCGGCGGGGGAGCAGCCCAATCTTAAAGAGCGGTCCTGGAAGGAAGATGGGGGCGCTGGAAGCACTAGCTCAGTTAATCAGAGAACAAGGCCGTATTCCCAGGGGACCAGATTCCCTGGAGGGGACCGGCCTCATTCAGGAGTCAGAGGCCTCCTGGGGAGTGTACAGGCCTCAGTCAAGGTGTAATCCACCCCCCCCCTCCAGGGGACTCTGATTATAGGCTAGATCAAGGGCACTGGCCTCATCCAGTGTGGCCAGGACTCGCGGGGGACGCGAGCCTCAGTCCCAGTGTCTGTGCAGGACAGGAGAGGCAGGCGCCTGACACCAGAGCGCACAGGACTCTGCAGGCAGGGCACCAGCAGGACTGGGCTTCGCTCTCGTGTGTGCTCCTGTTCTTAACTACGCATGCGCATTTACGCCACACTGGTGGTCTGAACCTGCGATCATCCGTGAGATACAGCATGGTGAAGAATGAATGGCTTGGCTGTGAATGTCAGAGTCACTCCCACCGGCGCTGGTCCCACCGTCCTTTGCACCCCCTGAAGCTGTCCTGTCCTCCATGGAGCCCAGCAGCCCCATCCTTAGGTTTATATCCCATCCCTACGGTTTCCCCAGCTGAACTCCGGAACATTCTGGAATTTTCCATGGTCTCACTGTTCCTCTGTGAAATGGCAATTACCATGGTCCCTACCTCAAAGGGCTCTCCTGGGATTAAAGAGGTTAACTCCGAGGGAGCTGTTGGAAGAGAGGCTGCCCACATACAGTCAAGCTTCATGGAGAGGGACCAGGAGAACTATTTATGGAGCACTTACGTTATATAATAAATAAACAGAACAAAGACACCTCGGTTCCCCCTCCCTCAGGCAGTGTTTTTGTTGTTTGTTTGATTTTTACATAGGAAGAGATTTAATTGCAAGGTTGTCATGGCAACTGGGCCAAACAGTTATTTTCCTTACTTTTTTTTTTGGTCTCCTTTCACCTTTCTGATCCTGAAATGGACATTCCTATTCTCCCACGAGCAGTGTTGTCCAAAAGAAGTACCACCCCAACCCCATGCATCATGCTAAATGACAGCTACGATTCTTTAATTAAAAAAAGAAGAAGAAGCAGGTGAATAAAGACATTGTGTCCATCTAGAACTAAAAAATAAATAATTAAAAGAAAAAAGAAGAGGCAGGTGAAGTGAATTGAAGGCTAGATTTCACTGACCCTGAAATGCACAAGGCGGTGTCATATGCACACACCATGGTACAAAGCAATCGGTGCACATTCTCTTCTCCAAAATGAGTCCCTTGGAAGAGCTGCATTCCAAAGGCATGACAGTCACACACGGCCATTGAGGAATTTCTCAAGGGTGTATGTGTGTGTGTGTGTGTGCACGCGTGTGAACATGTTCAGCACAAGTGTTGTTAATTTCCCTACCCGACTGGAAATCACAATGAAAATTTCCCGTGCCCAGGAGGATGACCATGTGAAAATGAAGATTCGTACACCCGCTAGCTCACCCATTTAAGGCGTGTAGGTCAATGGGTTTTACTGTTTTCACAGAGTTGTGACATCACCACGGTCCACTCTTTAGGCGGGCAGGCAGAGCTGGGAGACCCAGGGGTGCTCTACCACAGAGCCGAATCCCCAGACATATTTTATTTTGAGATAAGATCTCGATAAACATCCCAGGCTGACCTTGGACTTGTGATCCTCCTGCTGCAGCCTCCCAGGGTCAAGGGGTTGCAGGCGTGTCCCTGGCTACCACATCCACTTCTGAACAAGCTCATGACTCCAAAGAAGAAGCTCACCGTCCCTCAGCCGTCAGCCTCCCGCTCTCCCGGTCCCCAGGCCTACTGACAGGTGGCTACAGACGCACCTGTTCTGGACAGTCCATCTAAGTGGAACTACAGTGTGTGGCCTTTGTGTCCCACTCTCCAAGTTCCTCCCTGCTGTCGCTGGGTCAGGGCCCACTGCGTTCGTGGCTGGATGGCGTCCTACTGGATACCTATGCCACATTTATTTTATCCATTCATCAACTGATCAGAACTTAGGTTCTTTCTGCTTAGGGCTGTTGTGAATAATGCTGCTGTGAATATCTGGGTAGGAATTTCTGCGTGGGCTTGTGTTTTCTCTCTCTTGGGTACACACGTAGGGGTGGGGAGCTGGGTCACACGGTGACTCTGTGTTTAGTCATTTCAGTAACTGAGGGGTGCTTCTTGCAAGATTCATTTTAGAGCAAGAGCCTCATTCTAGTTCCCACAAAGGTGAGGGGAATGCTCCCCGACAGCCCGGTACTGGCCATGGCAGGGCGTGTCACTTTGACTTTTTGTGCCTCGGTGACCCCACTTTTTCGTGAGGTCAGGAGGATTCGAGAAGAGGTGCATGGGAGTTGGAACATGCCCAGCCCTGAGTGTGACTGGAAACAAGTTTCCTTCCCACCATAGGACTGACAGAGGGACGCACAGGACTTCTGCCCCAGGAGAGCATCTGGCTTTTAGGCAGGCCCACAAGTGTAGGGGTGCCTTGTGCCCCCATCTTGAAGGCATTATCTTAAGTGAAATAAGCCAGACTCAGAAACCCTCTTGGTTGCAGGGCACGATGGTCCACGCCTGTAATCCCAGCAGCTCTGGAGGCGGAGGCAGAAGGATTGCAAGTTCAAAGCCAGCCTTGGCAACTTACTGAAGCCCTAAGCAGCTCAGTGAGACCCTGTCTCTAAAGAAAAAAACAAAACCTGGGGGGGGGGCTGGGGGGGGCCCTCAGTGGGAGGGGCTCCAGAGCCCCCCCTCCCTCCTTGAGCATGCGCAGAGGAAGAGTCCTCTGAGGACAGCAGGAAGACAGGGTCTCAACCAAGGAGGACTCTGCTCCAGAAACCAGCCCTGGCCGCCCGCTGCTCTGGGCTGTCCCACCACTGTGGGTTCCTCCTGTTTACACCACCCAGACCGTGGCGCTTTGTAGTCACCACCCTGGCACCCAACACTAGGGGCCCGCGGAAGTCCCCTGCCCTAAAGTGTGTCCCAGGGCTTCTTCGCGGGGCAGTCTGACCCCCTGGGAGTGGGCTATGATACAGACACCTGGCAGAGAAGAGGGGCGCTTTGGGTTGTCACAGTGACCTGGGAACTTGCCGCATTCAAGGGGTGGTCCAGGGATATCCAATGCCCAGTGGGTCCTGAACTGTGACTTGCCCCATGGCTCACAAGCCACCGGCACTCACATGGGTGAAACTTCTGCCTGCAAGGAGCTCAGCCCGGGAGCTCTCTGTTTTACACAGACACCTAGAGCCCCCAGCATCCTCCACGTTACAGTCCAGCCAACTCCTCTTCTTGCATCTCTTAAACCCCTGCGACAATGGAAGGCAGGTGTGACCTTTGATCGTCTTCCCTGCTTTCTGGCTGCTCTGCCCCATTCATTTCTCTCCTGGTGGGTGGGGTGAGGAGCAGGGCTGGGTGGGGGTGTCTTGGTTTCAGATGCCAAAAAGAGAATTAGAGACTGAAACATGCTGAAGGAGGCATGTGGCATTCGAGGAGCTGAGGGTCCCTGTGGTTGACAAGTTCCAGGGCAGAGGATAAGGACAGACTGGACCCAAATGTCCTGTCTCACCCCCCTCCCTTGACATTTCCCCTGGTGGTGGCGGATCTCCTCCCGGACAGAGATGGGACCAGTTGCCTCTAAGTTTCCTGTGGGAGCAGCTGGGAGAAAAGTTTTGCAAAATTCTTTCCCTCTTTCTGCGTTTGAAGTGGGGAAATCAAATCCCTTTAACCGGAACTCGCACGGTAGGAGCAGGGGTTCTCAAAGTGTGGTGGCCCAGGGGACCCCAGGGGACCCCAGCCCATTTCAGGGAGTCCCTGAGGTCCAACCTGTTTTCATAATAAGGGAAGGGGAGGTACCATCATTGGTCTTTTCACTCTTACCAGCCTTCAGTGGAATTTTCCAGAACCTACACAGTGTCTGACGTTGCAACTGACAGAAGAAGCAGGTAGAAGGACTGTTGAGTCAGACATGAAAGATGTGCAAAACTGTTAAAAGAGAACATCACCAGTCTTCTCCTGAATCC